CGACCGCTGGAGGGCTATTACCCTTAGCAGGGGTAAATATGTCGATGAATGATATATAGCAATATTCTGTCATTTGTACTTTGGGAGATATATTAAAATGAATTGTTCCACGGACTTTCTGTTTCACCTAATATATTTCATTTTCTGGTAACACAATGTTTGCTTATGTTTTATTTATCACGTTTCAATAATAAATATCCTATAAGTGGCTCAAAACAATCTTAATAGATTAAAATGTTGAAATTCATTATTTCTGACAACACATTAATAAAAATTATCAAATTAATTTATCCACAAGACTATATAATACGAAAAGAGTATATAATATTTAAAAATTGAAGTTTACACGTATTATTATAATTTGAATATGTGGCATTATTGATTGCTCTTACCAAATATAATGAGTTCAAATATAGTTTTGGTATGTCTTGTACAGATATACTAATTTTCATATATAAGGTTATGCAATTTATTATTTTCAAATGTATTATATTTTTTCAAAATTAAATATGCATAACTTCAATAATTATGCTAAATACAATGAATTTACTTTTATTCATAGTATTCATACAATTTATCCAAGCTAATAATATGAATGTTGGCTTATATAACAAAATAAATTCACCACATTATGCATTAGTGGGAGATGGCAATAATGCAGGATATACTTGTTTGAAAAAAATATATTTAAACGTAACAAGGTGTAATGATATTAAAGAATGTTATTGCTATACAAACGGAAATGTTAAAAAATCATGTCATTGGCTCTGGTCAAATATTAATTGTTGTAGAAAATATATTAAGGTAATTTACTATAATGAAATAATTTTGAATTTGATTTATTTAGGATATTAAATTTATTTTAATTATATATTTGTATGTTATTTTTTAAATGTTTATTAGAATTTATTTTTATATAATGCTTAATAAAAGTTTAATAGCTCTAAAATAGGTGTAATTAAAAAAATTAAAACTAATCATATTATTCAATACACAGTCACATTGTTCAAAAAATGAAATTAAGCATGCTGCAAATTTACTGGAAAATATGAGCGTAATGGTCACTGATACGCAAACTGGTGAACAATCAATTTATACCCAGGGGGATTGCCATGAACTTAATTATATGGATTCTACTTGTAATGGTTCTAGTTCAGTTAAGGCTTTTAAATATATTTTCTCTTTAATTATAATATTTTATAAATTTTATTATATTTAAATTTACAAGTTAAAGATTTGTTAAAAGTAATATTTTAGAATTACTTATAGAAGGCAAGATAATCTACCAAAAAAAATTATACTTATTTTTAAAAATAACAATTAATTTATATAAATATTTTTACTAATATGATAGTAATTAGAGATTAATAATTTGTACTATATTACATAAAATATTATACCTTGACATGAAACATAATATTAAACAAACGCACAAATAAATTAAATATCCATGATAACTAAAAGAAAAATAATTTCTACTTATATTAAACTTAATAGATTAATTATTATATATAATTAATTGCTTAGTTTATACATAGTGTATAACAAACTAACTTTGACATAATTAACTGTAAACAAGACATAATTGATTTAACATTAAAATCATTTATATAAATAACAATCATAGTAAAAATATGTTTAACAAAAACTACAAAATTGACTTGTTTATTTGTTTAAATGATGTCCTTTGATATATTATTTATGAGCCGGGTGAATATTTAATATAAATAATTGTTTGATCATTTGTTCGTAGTATCACTATCTTAGTCCACTCTATCTATTCTCAATCGTTCGCTCGTTCAACACGAGAGAGAGGGAGGGAGAGAGAGAGAAAGGGAGAGAGAGAGAGAGAGAGAGGGAGAGAGAGAGGGAGAGAGAGGGTGAGAGAGACGTTCGTTCGTTAACAACGGATTCCGATTTCATACTAACTTTCCCGTGAAAACATAGTATTAATAGAAAGGAAATGATAAGAGATAACGAGCGTGTTACATTTATTTTATAGTTAACTCTTTTATTTGCCACATTAAAATGCACTTAATTAAACTTAAGAACAAATGATGTTTATTTAGAAAAATGAATCATTCATTTAGTATCGCTAATACCTGTATAACCTTAGTACATTAGATTGATCATGGAAACGTTTAATAGTATTATTACAGCACTCATTACACTGACATAACTAAAACCCTTGGCAATTAGGAAGTCATTAGTTAATGTGTAAATATATATTATAATATTTATTTATTTATTATATAACAAAAATATGCAAATAGATAGATATCAATTTTAATATTGTGCTTTAAACTAAAAAAGTAAAATCATGGTACGTGTTAAAACAATTTTAATATTGTTGGTATTATCTACATGCCTCAAATGTACGTACGCTAAATTTATTAATTCAGATGATGGTGTCAATTGTGTAGACTTTGTACATGAGTGCCTAAGAATTTGCATGATCAAAAACACTATTATTAATTATGTTACTACTTCTACCACTAAACCAAATGATGAGTTTGAATGTTGTCCAAAATGGCGTCAACACGATTGCCGTCTCATTTGCTATAAGGTATGAAATCTTTAGATATTTATCTTATATAGAAATATGCAATAATTACTTAATATAAAAATAATTTTTAATTCTAATGTATAATATTAATTTATTATAATATAATAAATAAAACATTTAGATAAAATAAATGCCTTTAATACTTTATATTTTAATACTTTTTTGAAATTATTATTCTGTTATATTATTATAAATGTTTTAATTTATTAGTTAACTCTCAAACTCAATATATTTAATGGTCATACAATAATGCAAAAGAGATAGGTTAGGCAAAAGTTATGAACATCTATACAATAGTTTGGAATTGAGTTAATACTCTAGAAAGTTATATAAACGTATTGTTAAAGAAATGTATGTAAATATTCTGGAAAATAGTTCAATAGTTAATGTACATGTTGAAATATTTATACTACGTCATAATGCAAATAATAATAATAATTTAGAGGTATACTTTTAAGGCTTTTTAATATACTTTATTATCTACTGCATAGTTTAATACAATGTAATTTTATCGGCACTTTACACTGTCTGGCTTTCCCTGACACATATCAGCAAAGTCATATAAATAGTCTCACAGATAACGTGCCTGACATACCTTAGATTAAAATATTTTTAGAAAATTATTGACTTATAATAATTATGTTTTATAAAAATTAATATATTTAATGGATAATTAGTTTGTTTTATAAAATTTTTAAAATTAATATTTAATTAATGTATATTTTAATTTAATTATTATTTATCAAACTACCCTTGATCACATAGAAATTTTGTAACAAGGAAACCGAAAAATCATTTTTTGATAAAACGAGAAAGAATGCTATCGGCCATGTTCAAATTAAATGCAGAGATTACACATATAAAAACTACAGGTGCTATAAATACAAGCAAACTACCACAACATCCACAACTGTTACTACACATATTGTAACAAGCACAGAAATAGTGGTCAAGGATAGGTCAACTGAACAACTCGATGAATTTGCTCAAGCAAACAATACTTACCCTGAAAATTATACTATTTCCAGCAATACTAGTTATGATAATAATGTTAATGCTACTGATGATCCAGTAACAAATAAAACCAACTATCAAGACATAATATTAGTTCAAGATGAAATAGGCTTAATTAATGAACCCGATGATATTATTGTTACTACTAATGGACCACAATGGTCAATGGATATGTGGTCAATTATTATGATAACTTTTCTAGGGATATTATTATCCATGGCAATTGGTTTTATAGTTAAAACAAAATATTTTCCGAAGCAAACACCTAATGCAGAAAATGTAGCCAATGAAAGTGAACTAGCACAATTACAACCTCTAATTAATCAAGTGTCATCGCAAGGTCAAATTTTAAACCAAGTTGAACCACAACTTGTACCTGAATTCCCTATTCAAATGGAAAATGTAATTTCTATACCAATACCTGACCCATCACAATCGGTATTACCACCTTTTGTAATACCCCCACCACCACTAATAGTACCTATGCCTACACCTCTAACCCCAGTAATATTAACCCCAGAATTAACTACACCAACACCTCTACCCTCTAGTCCAACTTTGGCACCACAATTATCTCTAGCACATCTACCCCAAGCAGTACCACCACCCCGTTTGTCACCTCCACCAGTATCACATGCACGTCCACCCCATGTTCCATCACCGCCATTAACACTTACATCTACACCTTCACCGAATACAAGTCACAATACACAACCTCAACTTGAACACCCGCCCCCTGTAATCCCAATTCAAATTGTTCGACCTTTTGTACAACCGGACAACAATAATAGACAACACCCTCTAGCTTTACCACCCCATCAACCTTTAGTCCCTCTATTACAATCTCATGAATTGCAGCAGCAACCGAATCAAGGTCAAATTGTAACTCTGACTAACCTGGGAACATTAGAGTTACTTAGAATAAGAGAAATATTACAAGGTGTCTTAATGAGTCTTGATCAATATGAAATTTTTAATGAACTTGGCCATGGTTCGTTCGGCATGGTATTTAGAGTAAAAGATACATGTGATAATCATTTCTACGCTATCAAAATCGTCGACTATAATTGTAAGTAGTCAAATTAATGTCATATTTTAAAATAGTAGTTTTAATAGTAGTTAATAAAATTTATTTTATACATATTATTTAGGGCATTCAAATGGCGATATTAATATTTCAATACAACGTTGCCTGGCAGAATGTCGAAAAATGGCCACGCTCAATCATCGCAATATAATTCAGTACAAACAAAGCGGCCAGATTAACAATCAATACTTGTACATCAAAATGAACCTGTGCCAAACAAATTTAAGGGAAATAATTAATTTAAAAATTGAATTGATACAAAAGTACCCTGACAACCCAGATATCCGAGCGTTTGATTATGTCGTTTCGTGTAAAATATTTAAAGAAATTTTAGATGGCTTACATTATTTACACACACGACCACAGCCAGTAATTCACCGTGATTTAAAGCCAACAAATATTTTATGTGACACACTATTGACAAATGGAAATTTATGTTACATTGGTGACTTTGGTTACTCAATAGAATTAACAGAGCAATCCGTATCGTATGAGCGAGATATCGGAAATTTTCGCTATCGAGCCGACGAAACAGCCATTGGACGCTATTATCCCGAATCGGACATATATAGCCTTGGACAAATTTTAATGGACTTATTCAATATTGATTCGTAAGTGTTTTTTAAAATTGATCACTCTACTTTCAAATTATATCCATTTATATAATATTAATATAATATCTATTAATGTAGATCATTGGATTATGATAATGGACATACAAATATACGATTTGTAATTGGACAAATGCTTAACGGCCCATACAGAAATAGACCGGACACGTTAAATTTGATAACAAACTTTTCTGATTTGGACTTGGATTTTGATATACAACAAATTGCTGGTAACCTATGTATCATATTTGATGATATTCAAAATGAGAAATTTATTTTCTTATTTAACTATTTAATGATGAGAACATGAATTATTAATAAACATGAGATTTTAATGTATAATCAATTATATTCAATATAAAGAATTTTACTTTAAAATTAATTTTTTGTATAAATTATGATTAATTAAAAATATTATAAAATTTTTTAATAATATAGGTACACAAAATGTAGTCTATAAATATAATTATTTATCGTGTTTATAGAATCATGCAAACTTGTACATTTAAAAATAACATATTTGATATTTTGGTAAACTCTATTTAGAAAACTGTCATAATATTAGATAAAAATTTTAAGCATATTATTAATTTTACGTTATTCATTGTCATTGTATATAAAGATTTAATTGTTTAATAATATTTTTAAATATTTTTTATTATTATTTAAATGAATTCATTAAGTGTATTTATTTGCATTTGTCACAATAATTATCTAAAAAAATTACTTTTAATTTATGTTTTTTTAGTCATTAAACTTTAAATAAAAGCTATAAATATAAAATTGTCTATATTATTCATAATTCCCTAAGATAAACAATAATATTTCCAAATAGATATCTGTAAAAGCAAAACGAATTGAATCTAAAAAAATTATCTTTCAATTTTGCTTGCAAAATAAGTACGTGCGTATATTTCACTTATATTAAATTTTAAATGCAAACAAAATTTAAAAATAAATTAAAGATTTATTGCAAGCTACAATTTGTTCTACTTTCACAGATATATTTATAAAGTTGATTGCCATAATTTCACATGATAAATGATGCAAATGCACGATTGTTATTGTAAAACATAATTTCTAATATTACGTAAATATCTATAATTTAAAATAAGTGCACCTTTTTATAATAAAATATAGACAATACAAAATTATTTATATTTTCTATCATAAATTATTAATAATAATATTTTTAACTTTTTATTAGCTGTGAAAGTATATTATGCATTATTTCTCACTATTACAATAATGACAATATTATTTCTCACTTAGTATTACAATTAGTATAAAAATGATTTCTCGTAATAAAATATTTGTTCAACAAAAATTATCTGCCAAAAACCTATTACCCCGATCATTTGCTATTACAATGGCTGGTACCCACTTTTACACGTATGGTCTGTCAGCCTATAAACCCCCGAATGCCCCGAACAGACGATTCCTTCGTAAACCCATTATTATATTGACGTCAATATTAATACTCTATATTTTTAGACCAATTATCGTATTATTATTAATACCCGAAAGAAACCCAGAGTTTTATGTCATCGTTGGGGACGTCACCTATTTTTTGGGTAAAATATGGTTTCACACGTCAGTGATGTTTGTTGTGGTCGGCATAATAGGTCTGTCTTCACAGATACTTAATTACAATAATTATACTCGAGGTATAAAACCCAGGGATTTGTCTGTATTTTCAATGCTTTCGGGTTTAATAACACCCATTAGTATCGGTATTCACGACAAACAACTGGTCATTAAATTACTCGCGTTTAGCCGCAAATGCATTGGACTAACCGAAAAGGTGACTGTCTCCTTTTTCTACACATTATTCATTGGGGTCGGTATGACATTTATAGTTGGCCAAGGTGACATGCTTAAGGTATACATGGTCCCGTTAATTTTTCTACATAGTGCACTATGGGCATTGTCTGGTTATTATATTAATTGTATTATTTCATGGCAGCTAGTTTATTACGCTATTATATGCTACTATTTGTCTAGTAAAATCACCTGGATCACAATCAGACATGAGACACTTAACGGAAAGGGAACTAAAAATATCATTCAAATTATGCGTAAACTTAATGATGTATTTATCGAAACCGCTGATTATAACCGAATTTATTGGTGTAAATTTTTGGGCATTTATTGGACCTTGATCAATGTAGTTATCGTGACCTTTCTATACATAACATTATATGGGGATCTTAATTTTATTATCCAATGTGCCTCATTTATTGTGTTTACCCAAATGTTTATAACCATGGTGTTTATTGTCATTTATTCAACTATGTTATATTCACATAATTCAATATTATATCGTATGTATAACAGTCTAAACGTCAAACACACTACTTATTTATCCCTGAGCACCAAAATTAAGGTTTGCACAATTTTACATTGAATAATTGTACTGTATATATTATAAACAAAAATAATAGTATTTTCCGATTGTTATTTACAACCTTAATTATAGTTAATGACATTCATTGAGCGTTTGGGTTGCAATGAGATAGGATTTCATTGTTGGAAATTATTTATAATAAACCGATTGACAGGATATGAGGTTAATATTGAATTATTTAAAAAATGTTTTCAAATATCTTAATTTATTTTTACAGAATATAAGTTTGGTTCCAATATTTTTAATGAAAATGATTCAAATGGTCAAGAACAATTCAATAATTTAATTAGCTTTTTAAATTATACTAACGTGGAAGTTAATGATTAAAATACTGTATAACCTCTAATAATTCAATAATATAAATAAGCATTATACTGTATGATAACTGAATTATGATTATTCATGTAACTATTGTATATTAAAATTAAGAGTTTATAAATTTAACATAATTTTAATTGTCCAAAAAATATTTTAATTTTTGTAATATTATAATATAATTTTTATATAATTTAAATAATATAATTTTTGTAATATAATAAGTTATATATAAAATATACTAATATTTATGTAAATACTATTTATAATTTATGACTGAATTTTAAAAAATTAAAATCTAATTATTCATGCAAATTCATGTATAAATATCAATATTATGTCTGTTATATGAGCCAACAAAACCAGACAATGTTAAGTCTTAATACAAATACATTGCCAAAGACTATACAGTATGTAAACCTTTCAATAAACTTAATAATTGATTTTATTATCTGTAGTTCATTGCAATGTATTTATTTTAGAAGTTGACATTCACTGGTTTCAGCAATGTACTGTAAATAAAAATCAATAAATAAAATGAAATTTCGCTTAAAACTATAAATCAAATTCTTTGCAATTTATAAATGATAATACACTAATAATTACCTATTTAGATTTATGAATTCATTAAAAGGTCTATATTTATTTCAAATAAAAGCCATAAATATAATAAATTTTATATTGTTTATAATTCTTTAGTATAATCAAATAATCAATACTATTTCTAAATATAATATAAATTTATATTATATCTGCAAAAGCAGAACAAATTGAGTCACAAATAAAATTATTAATTTTATCTTTTTATTTTACTTACATAATATGAATAGATTTCTCCAATAAAATAATACCGGTATTCTGCTACAATAAAAACTGTAAATATAAACTAGTTATATTTATATAAAATAGTTAAAGACTATTAATTAATGCATTATTATTGAGTTCAGAATCTAATATAAAAGTACAGTGCATAATATAAATTTATAATATACAATATACTGTATATATAAAAGTCTTAAAGCAATTCACTCATATGTGCTTGTAAATTTTTCTTATATTAAACTTAAAAGCTTTTAATATATGTAAGCAAAATTGAAAAATAAATTAAAGATTTTTAGCGAGACTTAATTCATTCTGCATTCACAGATATAAAGTTAAATGCCATAATTTCAGATTATATTAATATGATAAATGATGCAGTTGCACGATGTTTATTGTGAATTTATGATCATCAATATTACCTAATTATGTATTTTATGCTTTCTATAATAATATTTCATAACAATTTATAGACAATACAATAATATTTACAGTATTATCTACTAATACATAAATGACAATATTTTCTATTTTATACGAGTTACGGTATTAGCTGTAAAAGTTTTATACAGATATTATAAAAATGACTGTTCGTAATAAACAACTTGCCCAACAAACATTATCGGCCAATACTGTATTACCCGGATCATTGGAAATTAAAAGGGCTGGGACACATTTCTACACATGCGGTCTGTCAGCCTATAAGCCCCCGAATGCCCCGAACAGACGATTCCTTCACAAACCCGTTATTATATTGACGTCAATATTAATACAATATATTTTCAAACAAATAATCGTATTATTGATATCCAAAAGAAATCCTGTGTTTTATGCCATCGTAGGGGACGTCACCTATTTTTTGGGCAAAATATGGTTTCACACGTCTGTGGCCCTCATTGTAGCCGCCATAATAGGCCTGTCCTCACAAATCCTTAATTATTATAATTATACTCGAGGTATAAAACCGAGGGATTTGAGAGTATTTTCAATGCTTTCGGGTTTAATAACATCCATTAGTATTGGTATTTACGACACACTACTCGTCCATAAATTACTGGCGTTTAGCCGAAGATGTATTGGACTAACCGAAAGGGTGACAGGTCCTTATTTTTTCACATTATTAATCGCTATGGCTATGACATTTATAATAGGCCTAGGCGATTTGCTTACGGTAAAAATGGTCCCGTTTATTTTTGTACACACTACATTATTGGCATTATCTGGTTACTATCATAATTGTATCGTATTGTGGCAGTTAGTTTATTACGCGATTATATGCTACTATTTGTCGATCAAAATTACATGTATTACAACCAGATATGGGATACACAGCGGAAAGGGAGCTAAAAATATTTTTCAAATTATGGGTAAACTTAATGCTGTATTCATCGAAACCGCTGATTATAACCGTATTTATTGGTGTAAATTTGTGGGTAT